GTAGCCCCATGGCTCAGGTGATAGTCAGTTAGTTAGTAGTAGCAGTAGCTAGCAACACAGCCGAGGCGAGCAGCAGCGGCAGAAGCCAGCAGTCACAACAAAACACAGCAGTTAGCAAAAAAACAACACGCGAAGCTAGCGCAGGCCGCAACAGCTAGTAGCAGCCGCAAAACGCCAGTTAGCAGCCAGCAACAACAACAACAACAACAGCCAGCGAAGCTAGCAATTAGCCATCTGTTCAGTCCCGCGCAGCAGTCGCCCACGTGCCATCGCAATTCCCCCCCTCATCCCCATCCCACCCGCCTGCCGCAGCAATTCAAACCCCTAAGCATCTTGTATCACAGTAAACCCCGCGACGTGCGCTGCTCGCGAGTCCCTTATGAAAGGTTAGCAGAGCGGAAGCTGCGCGCTGCCTGCCCTACCGCCGCCGCCGCCGCATCTAACGAGTTAATAGCTTACAGCCGTCGTACACACGCAGCGTGGTCGGATTGAATGGCGGCGCCTCCGGCCAGCAGGCAGGCCGGTTATTGACCCGCGCCACCCTTAAACTGGGCCTCAGCCGTCGTCAAGTGGCACGTCTACCTACATTCCGCCGCTAGCTGCGCGCGCACGGGCCGCGCGGGATGACAGCCGATGATGATGACGATAGCGGGCTTCGTAAAGGGCTTCTTTATCTTCTCGAGCGGATTCACGCAGTATCCTCGTGCAGTGCTCCTCTCTCTCAGCGGTGCTCCTCTCTCAGCGGTGCTCCTCTCTCTTCAGCGATGCTCTCTCTCTTCACGCTGTTTTCTCTCTGCCTCAGCGGTGCTTTCCTCTCTCTCAGCGATTTGCTCCTCTTCTCAGTGGTGTTCCTCTCTCTCTCTCAGCGGTGTTCCTCTCTCTCAGCGATGCTCCTCTCTCTCAGCGGTGTTTCTCTCTCTCAGCGGTGCTCCTCTCTCTCTCAGCGGGTGGTTTCCTTCTTCTCTCAGCCGGTGTTCTCTCCTTCTCAGCGATGCTCCTCCTGTGCTGTCTGTGAGGCGAGGTGCGCGCTCTTCGAGGCTGGTGGTTTCTCTCTCCTAGTGCGGTGTGGGCGTTGTTCTTCTCTCAGGGTTCTTCTCTTCACAGCCTGCGCTGTGCTCAGGCGGGTGCTCCTCTCTCCTAGCGATGCCCTGCGTGCCGTCGGGGCGTGGTTCCCGCCCGGGGTTTCCCCTCTCAGCGGTGGCTCCTCTCGTCCATGCGCATGCCATTTCTTCTCGCGGGGTTGTTCCTCTCTCTCAGCGGGGCTCTCTCTCGTCTGCTGTGCCTTCTCCTCAGCGAGGGCTCCTCTCTCTCAGCGAGGCTCCTCTCTCTCAGCGGTGCTCCTGTCTCAGCGGTGCTCCTCTCTCAGCGATGCTTCTCTCTCAGCACACTGTCCCACTGGCTGAGCGCAGGCTGTCGTCAGGACAGACGCGGCTATGGCGTACGTAGGTTGTAATGTTTGCCCTCCTTTCCGCCATGATGCCGCCTCCTACTCCGCTGCTGCTCTCCTCGCCTCTACTCCCTCCTCAACCTCGTGGCGTCTTTCACCTTCATCTCCTTCACTGCCTCGTCCTCCTCCTCTTCCTCCCATCCTTCTCCTTCTCCTCCTCCCCCTCCACCTATTCTGATCTCTCTTTCCTATCGGTTGTATCCTTCTCTACCTTCTCCATTTCTCCTCCTTCTCCTCCTGCTCCTCCTCCTCATCCTCCGTTCCCTCTATCTTCTCATTTTCTACTCCTCCTCCTCCTCTTCTTCTTCCCCCTCTTCTTTCTCCTGCCTTGCTGCTTCTGCCGCTTCCACAGCCTCCTCCACCTCCACCGCATCCTCCGCCTGTACCTCATCTGTCACTTCTGCTTCCTTCTCCTGTGCCGACGCAGCCATTTCTCAGGCAGGGATGGGTGGTACCGCCAGTGGTTGTGGGCTCAGGAGAGAGGTGGGAGGTGTTGAGGGTATATGGTTTATTATGTGTAGCTCTTCGATTGAATTGTTGTCTCTAGGGTAATTTCTCGCGGCTTACACGGGGTACCGGTACGTACGTAGCAACTGTCCCGACTCCTGCCCGCTGTTACCGTGTTACGTTGCTGCAGCATTCACCTGTGGGGTCTCATAACACACCTGTGATGCTGATGATATAACACACCTGGGAGACTGTTGATATAACACACATATAACACACCTGTGAGACTGTTGATATAACACACCTGGGAGACTGATGATATAACACACCTGTGATGCTGATGATATAACACACCTGTGATGCTGATGATATAACACACCTGTGATGCTGATGATATAACACACCTGGGAGACTGTTGATATAACACACCTGGGAGACTGTTGATATAACACACCTGGGAGACTGTTGATATAACACACCTGTGAGATTGTTGATATAACACACCTGGGAGACTGTTGATATAACACACCTGGGAGACTGTTGATATAACACACCTGGGAGACTGTTGATATAACAC